AATGTTTCCTTTAGGAATTGGGGATATTCAAATTAATTAACCAATCATTAATACCATTGATCAGCCCTACCTAACGTGGATGTTTTTTCCACTAAGAAACAAACATTGTTATGTTATTTTGATTTATACTGTGAAGCTTTGATACAATTGTGAAAAGCGCTATATAAATATACTTGACTTGACTTGAATTGTGTTTGTGTTTTTGCAACACAAAACGTGTTGGATGTACCCTGTGTACTAGGAATAGTGCAAGCATTTATTTATTTTTATTGACATAGACAGATGTCTTTTCTTTTTTCAGATTGCACACGTGTGTATGTTATGTATTGTGACAGGGGCTATGTATTTTCTTTTATTAAGGCCTACTTGAGCATATACAAATTTGCTCACTAAGAACCTGTGAACCACAATCCCAAACTGGCAGTTTGATTTTCTGTGTACTGAATTGTTTATCTAAAGTAAACTTGTTTGAATTTTATGCACATCATGTCTTTTTTTTTAAATAATACTTTCTAAAATTGTAGTCCTACTTTAAAAAAATCGCAATATATCGCCTTATGCACAGTATCGAAATATATCGCAATATATTGAATCGTGACCCATGTATCGCGATACGTATCGTATCGCCAGATTCTTGCCAATACACAGCCCTAGTCAGTAGTAATACTTTGTAATTGATACGGAACTTAATAGGTAACCAGTGTAGAGATGATAAAATTGGTGTTATATGATCATATTTTCTTGACCTAGTAAGAACTCTAGCAGCAGCATTTTGCACTAACTGTAGCTTGTTTATTGAGGATGCAGGACAACCAGCTAATAAAGCATTACAGTAATCTAGTCTCGAGGTCATGAATGCATGAACTAACTTTTCTGCATCAGAAACAGATAGCATGTTACGTAGCTTAGCTATGTTTCTAAGGTGGAAAAAGGCAGTTCTTGTAACATATGAAATATGATTTTCGAAAGACAAGTTGCGCTCTAGTATAACACCCAGGTCTTTTACTGTAGTGGATAAAGTAACAGGACTTCCTTCTAAAATAAAGTTGTATTGTAAGAGATTTTGTGGGTAGTTTTTTGGACCAATAAGTAATACCTCAGTTTTATCTGGATTTAATAGTAGGAAATTACACGTCATCCAGCATTTTATATCTTTAAGACACTCTGTCAATTTTGTTGAGTTAGTGTTTTCATCTGGTCGTGATGAAATATATAATTGAGTGTCATCAGCATAACAGTGGAAATTAATTCCATGTTTTCTTATAATATTACCAAGTGGCAGCATATATATTGAGAATAGCAGAGGGCCTAACACCGATCCTTGCGGCACTCCATAGTCTACTGACGTTATCTTCGATTTTTCCCCATTTAAACAGACAAAATGGTAACGGTCTGATAAGTACGATCTGAACCAGCTTAATGCCTGTCCCTGAACACCAGTGTAGTTTTGTAGTCGATCCAAGAGTATTTTATGATCGATAGTGTCAAACGCAGCGCTAAGATCGAGTAGAACTAGTATTGAGATACAGCCTTGGTCAGAAGCTAAAAGTAAATCATTTGAAATTTTAACTAGCGCAGTTTCTGTGCTATGATTGCGGTCTGAATCCTGACTGAAATTTTTCATATATCTCATTTTCTTGCAGGAAAGAGCACAATTGAGCGGACACAGTTTTTTCTAGTATTTTAGACATAAATGGAAGATTTGAAATGGGTCTGTAATTTGCTAAGTTATTTGGATCTAATTGCGGTTTCTTAATAAGAGGTTTTATTACTGCCAGCTTGAATATTTTTGGAACATGACCTAAAAATAAAGACGAGTTAATAATATTGAGAAGAGGCTCTTCCACTACAGGTAACACTTCTTTCAGTAGTTTAGTGGGTATTGGATCTAATAAACAGGTTGTTGGTTTAGATGCAATGATACATTTATTTAGCTCTTCCTGTCCTATAGTTGTAAAGCGGTGTAGTTGTTCTTGAGGGGCCATAATTGAGGCTGAATCATAAGACACCATAGAGGATTGTACATTTACAATTGTGTTTCGGATGCTTTCTATTTTCTCATTGAAGTAATTCATAAAATCATTACAGCTATACTGTAACGGAATATTTTGCTCTGGTGATGTCTGTTTATTTGTTAGTCTAGCCACGGTGTTAAATAAAAACCTTGGATTATTTTGGTTATTTTCTATTAGTTTGCGGAGATGCTCAGCCCTGGCTGCTTTTAGAGCTTTTTTATAACGTGACATACTGTCTTTCCACGTGATTCTAATGACCTCTAAATTAGTTTGTTTCCATTTACGCTCTAAGTTACGAGTTTCTCTCTTGATAGCATGCGTAGCACTGTTGTACCATGGTGCTTCAGTTTTCTCTCTAACCTTTTTTAATCTAATTGGTGCAACAATATCTAATGTACTAGAGAAAATGGTGCTCAAACTGCTAGTCATTTTCTCTAGTTCATCTGCTTGTTTGGGTTCACTTAGCAGCTGAGATAGATCAGGTAAGCTATTTGAGAATCTATCTATAGTGGTCGGAAGGATTGTTCTGCCTGGTCTATAACGTGGCGCAACATGACAAATTTCAGCAGTGCGTAGTATAAAAGTTACCATGTAATGATCAGTGAGATCGTCACTTTGCGGTATAATATCTATATCGGTTGGATTGGTTCCGTATGATATAATTAAATCTAGTGTATGATTTAGACGATGAGTGGGACCACTGACGTTTTGCTTGACCCCAAAGGAGTTTAATAAATCTGTAAACGCAGTCCCTAACGCATCGTTTGTGTTATCTACGTGTATGTTAAAATCTCCAACAATTATTGCTTTATCGGCATTGACCATTAGATCTGAGAGAAAGTCTGCAAACTCTTTTAGGAATTCAGCATAGTGCCCTGGAGGTCTATATACAGTAGCCAAGGCTAGAGATAATAGGGATTTCTTTCTTACTTCTAAGAGCGTAACATTTAGCACAAGTACTTCAAACGAATTAAACCTGTGACCTGTTTTCTGAGTAACATTAAGAATATCTCTATAGATTGTTGCAACTCCGCCGCCACGACCGATCAGACAGGGCTCATGTTTATAACAGTATCCTGGCGGGGTAGACTCATTTAGACCGAAATACTCATTTGGTTTAAGCCAGGTTTCAGTAAGGCAAAGTACATCGAAGCTATTATCTGTGACCATTTCATTTACAATAACCGCCTTAGGTGTGAGCGATCTAATGTTTAGAAGACCTAGTTTTAGAAATTGTTTTTGTTCACTGATATTTAGATTTTCTGGTTTAATTACAATAAGATTTTTCCTAGATCCTACACTAGATTTATTGTTTGGCCTCACTAGACGAGGAATAGACACAGTTTCTATATAATGTTCTACACTACTTATATCAATTAAGTTGGGACAGCAAAGACTGTGATTTGAACTTTGACTTACTAGTCAGATGGAGTGTAACGCCTTGGAGATGTTGTCCGACAGAACAGCGGCTCCGATTCTGCTGGGGTGCAGGCCATCAGCACGGTAGAGCCTAGGTCGCTCCCAGAACAGATTCCAATTATTTACAAAGAGCAGTTTCTGTTCATTACACAATGACATTAACCATTCATTTAGTGCAAATAATCTACTGAACCTTTCCTGTCCTTGTCGGTACGTGGGAAGTGGTCCAGACACGATGATCGTTGCCTCAGCCGCTGTGCTGCGTACCGTCTCGATCAGGCTCCTGTAGTCCTTCTTCAGAACCTCCGTCTGCCGCAGCCTGATGTCGTTCGTTCCCACGTGCAGCACCACAGCTCCGACGCGCTCTTCACCGTTCAGGATCTCGGGAACCTGTGCGGCGACATCAAGAACACGAGCACCAGGAAAGCAGTGAGTGCGCACCTTACCCTTACCTGAGGTAGCACGGACATGACGGACCATGGAAGTGCCGATGATCACGGCGTCGTCGCGTTCCGACTCGCGAAGAGGGGAGAAGCGGTTCCGGGTGGAGATCTCGAAGACCGGGAGGGGCGGAGAGGTTCTTGCTCTGGTCCTGGCTCGTGTCTTCCGCTGTGGGATCACCCAGGGTCCATGGTGTTGTGTAGGTGCCGGAGTGAATGAAGCCAGAGATGATCGCGTCCTCCTGGGCAGAGAAACGCACGGAGTAGACGAAGTCGGAGTCAAAAAGTTACTAACCACTGACTTGTGAGCATCAGCGCGTGACGTTTCAAGCGCTGATCGCCGATCCCGCAGCTCGGCTTGCCTCTCTAGCAGACCACGGATCTGTTTCTCCACCGATTCCAGCTCCAATCGTACCGAAATCAGCTCGAATGTGTCCTCACCTGCACTCAGAGGTAACGTTAGACACACATCCGATATGTTCGCCATTATAACAGATGAACAGTAAATTAGTAGTGAAACTACCAATATCACTACTAATTTAGGACTGGAATGCTGGATATAACCTGTATCCTTTCAGTTAAACGGGTGTAAAATCAGACGGTCAATAGGCGCGAGGCCACGCGTGAAATGCTAGCGGGCTGAAAGGCTAGTAGCCGAGATTCGCAAAGTTGGATCTAAGCAGCGATATCAAAGCAATCCGATTGTTTTTTATAGGGAATAGTATCGAGGATAAGTTCACACGATGTAAAAATAGAAAGTGCTTGTTTATAAATGAGTGGTAAAGAAGAAAATCAAGGATTAATGAATCAATTCGACGGAGCTACAAACAGAAACATAGACCGCATGTGCATGTCTAATATTAGAAAATGGACTTTTGGCTAATATAAGAATATTTTATTAAAAATATAAGCATATTTTTTGTCAAGTGTTTAAGGAATACACAGCAAAGCTTTGCCCAAAAAATGCATGTTTTCCTTTTTCTTTTTTTTTAAAGCAAAGGTAGCATTTTTTTAATTACAGAAATTTTTATGGAGATTAAGACTTTAACTGCAATTAGGAAATGCAAACTAACTGACATTGCCATAGATTGGTTAATCACTAATAAGTAAGTCTCTTCATTCACAGAGAGAATAAAGAGTTGGCAGACTACACTCAGATGCATCCACCTATGGTGTCTGCTAGTGGACTGAACCCCAACCTGATGGTGACTGGTGGACCGACTCTGGCTGGTGCGGGCCGCTGGCCTGCTGACCCCGCCTCCCACCTGGCCTCCCACCCGTGGCTGCCCCGACCAGGAGCCCCCTCCATGTGGTTGTCTGGCTCTCCTTATGGTACCCACATTTTTTTACTATGGCTGTAGTGTAAGAATTATGTCATGTTACAACAAGCAATTGTTGCAATTGATCAAGGGTCATGCAGTCTGGAATGCTGCAGAACTGGGTTGTGAATGGGATTTGGACACCAAATTATTTCCTCGAGGCAGTCTGTTGACCCTGCCAGACGGCCCAAGCATTTTGTCTAGGCTGAGTGTTTTAGTCATTCTTAGAAACAATCAGTCTCACTCCACAACTTCCATCCAAGAATAACAGCAAACAGCACTGTCAGTTCAGTTCTCTGACGTTCGAGTTTCTGTCTAGACTTTACTTTAAAAACAAAAATGTCCCATAAGAAAATAGCTGTACTTAAAGTTCTGTGCATCTTGGCAGGAATTCAACTAGGTCTGTGCTCCATGCACAGGGGTGAGATTATGCTGGGAATCTAGTTTCTCTTGGGGATTAACTCTTGAATGTTCACAAAGCTGCCAGAATGCAAGTGCAAATGGACCATCAACTACAAATATGGTGAACCCAACCATTTCTTGTCCCTCTGTTGTTGAACAGGACTGGGTCCCCCTTCCCTTCATCAGACGCTGCCTCCAGGATATCCTTCTGCCTTGACAGGTTCCATCCCCCCACCTTACCAGTTTGCCCGAGATCCACAGACCGGACAGGTGGTTGTTATTCAGACAGAGCATCTGCCACACTATGGTAGGCCCCGTATATTCACCACAATTTCTGTATTCATATTTGACCATTTTTCCATTCACGCATGAATGCGATGTGCATTTATAAAAGTGAGTGGTAGTGATATTCCTGACGTGTAGCAGAATAAATATACTTGATTCGTGATGCTCAAATATTCCTCTTGTTCTTTAAAAGCTGAGATGTTAGAGCGAGGCCCCCCGCTGTGGTCGGCCATGTACCCGCCGGCAGGAAGCTCTCTGCAGCATGCCCATCAGCTCCAGCTCCTCTCCCACCAGCAGCTCCTGCGGCAACAGGAGCTTTACATGATCCAGCATCAGACCGCACAGGTCATGGAACTGCAGAGGAACGCACAGTTAGTGGTATGAGATTCTTTCTGTCAATGTCATTATATTCGTGGGAAGACACTCCTGTATTTTCCATTTTGTAGTCCTTAAGGTCTATTTGCACCAACTCTGAATGTTCAGCATGGAAAACAGGCATAAAACCAAATGCATAAATTAAGCCTTCCAATCAAGTTCAAAATATTGTACTTTGGTCTTTATTATTTTTTTATGTGCAAAATCTAGGTTTCTGGGTTTTTATCTTATTTTTATGCATCTATTTTTATCATTTTTTATAACTGATGCCATACCAATTTTATCTATTTTGATTTGCAGTACTTTTTGAACAAACTTGTAATTTAGTATAGCTTTTCTTTAAAGGGGGAGGGGGAGGGGGTGGGGGGTTAAATTCAGATTTTTAAATTTTTTATTTATTTTTCTGGTGCAGGAGAGATTAAATGCAAGTCACTCTAGGACCGATTTGGATGATAAACCAGACAAGAGAGGAACTGAAGGGGCCAAATCCAGTCTCTCGGGCATCCCCACTCAAGCCCTGCACTCACGCAAGCCTCCCCCACGCTCTCCAACCCCCTCCACCTCGTATAGAAAAGCCCTGACGCCGCTGCCCGTCCCACCGTTGCCTTCACCTGTCACTGCACTGAAGTCTGAGGAGAGACCCAAAGTGGAGAAGTCCCTCTCTCAACAGCCCTACTCCCATCCATCATCTCCTGTCCCTCATTCAGTCAGCCCTGTTTCGGCATCGCCTCTTCCTACATCCCCCATCCAGACCAAAGAGGAATCTGTGGAAGTGCCTGAGAAAGAAACACTCAGTCTACTGAAGCAAACTTCTACTCCGTTCCCATCTATGTACCATGGTAAGTGGAAGGTCAGCTTTCCCAAGTGAAATGTCCAGGATTGAGCCTGCTTAATTTGTCAAAATTGCAACAACTATGAATTTGCATGATCATATGGAGTAATTATTGTTTATTTGCATATTGCACAATAAATGAGAAGGAAACTAATCAATTTGAAAGGAAACTGGTTAAATAATGCAAGGCCATTAATCTCCATATTGCTATTTTTAAGGAAATATGTTTGGGAGGGGACTGAGAATACTCTCAGGACAGCAATCAAATGCAGCGCGCTATTCTTCATGTCAGAATGTGCAGGGTAGTGCAGTCTTAATGAGTAGTCTGCAAATATCTCCACATATGGGATTACCAGCTGTCTCTTCACTGGAATAGAGACTTCTTATGACAGCAGCCCTTTTGTACCCGTATCCCCTGGCGGTTTCCCTTTAAAAATGTTCAATGCTCAGGATAAATAGATTTTCTGCTCATGGTGCATTCTGAATGTATGAGTATGCACGAGCGTGTTGGCCTATGTGTATATAAGGGCTTTTGGGATGCTTGTGCTGGGGCCATTTGGTTCATGAAAGTTTCATAAAGCCCCTGTGCCGAAGAACATGTGGGGTTATTAATCACTTTGTCACTCTGTCGCAGGGAACTAAAGCCTTTCTAGTGTTTGCATAAGCACTCCTAGCCCCTCAAATTGTTCTCTCTTCTGTTTCTTCAGCAGAAATTCCTCCTGGCTACCCATACCAATCGATAACAGCACCGTTCGGCAGCCATTACCCCTACCTCCTCCAGCCAGCCGCTGCCGCAGACGCTGACGGCCTGGCACCAGATGTGCCATTGCCGGCTGAGACATCCGAGCACTTGGCGACCACCGCAGATGTCAAACCCCAGCACTTGTGTTCTCCAGTGGTAGTGGAGTCACTTCAGGCATCCAGAGAGAAAGAGTCAATGGATGAGGGCAGCGCTGTGTTAAAAAAAGAGCCAAACCTGGAAGACAACAAAGACGTCCTGAGCCAGGACAGGCTGAGGCTTGCACCCATCACCACCCAAGACCCTAGAACCCCCCCAGAGGACGAGGCCCGCCCTAGAGCCACAGCCACACCATTGCCAGAGGATGAACAAGACCTGGGAGATGGGGAGGCTGTCAAAATCGAAGCTGCCACCTCAAGCCATCCAGGGCTGTATGAGGCAGATGCTGAAAGAAGAACCAGAGTAGAAACTGCCGAGGACTCGATTGGTCTGGTAGACCAAGTTTACAAATCTTCATCAAGTTACACTGACACACACCTTGTGGCTTGTGACATCCAGCCAGCAAAACCCTCCGATCTCTCTGATAGTTTGAACCCAGTAGACCTCAGAGATCCTGTCCCTGACACTCCACACCTGGAATCCAATCTTTTCCTGCCTAACAGCAGCCCTCCTCACCTTCAGCCCTCTTCCATACCGGTGGCCATCCTGCCTGGAGATCCCATGGCAGGCATGTTCGCCCTGGTCACGGCCAGCGAGCTTCTGCCGGCCGGAGCAGTGTCCATCCTGGCAGATGCGTGCTGCTCTAGGTCTGAGCTCTGCAAGGGCGTCAGTCCCCTAGAGTCCACTGCTCTGGAAGGCATGGCCCTGCTTAGCCAGATGGCAGAGCTGGAGATGCAGAAGCAACCCAGAGATGACACACAGGGTGAGTCTCATTTCAGAGAGAGGAACGGTAATCTGAAGGATGTGGGACCTGATGTAGCCTGCTCTAACAGTTCAAATGGAAGTGGTGCTTAGGGAGGAAGGTTTGCTGCTCACTGTAGTGTGCTGTAAAGTAAAATGTGCTGAAACAAGCTCAGGAATTGTTTCAGCTCTAGTAAATTCAGTTCAACTCTAGTAAATTCAGTTTAAATATTGTTTAATAGTGTGCCAGTGCTGCTTGTTCATCTATGAATCTTTTAGAGTAAATACGTTTGTTTAAAGTATAAATAAATGCATCTATCTGGTATTTTGGATGTATCTGTATGTCAAATGCGTTAATGCACTCTGACACAAGAAACACCCATATACTGATGTATTGGAGAATGCGGGGCTGTCCCATGCTCCCTAGAGGTAATTAATGTTGGTATCGATCGTGTGTTTGTGTGTGCAGCTGTAATACTCTGTGGACTGGAGAGTCTGCTGGAAGCTGGCAGGCAGGTTCTCCTGGAGGCCATCGAGTGTCAGCCTCAGATTATCATCCGCCTCCCCCGAGAGCTCAACCCTAATAAGAAATACAGCTGGAGACAGAAGAAAGATGAACCTGTATGCTTGCCTTTTTATGACTTCTTTTCATCTCCCTCTTTAAACCTGTGCTCAAGAAGTTAAGATTTCTGTTATCACTTTCATTTGCTTTTTCTGTTATCAGAATAGTAATTCTAGGATGTTTGTAGTTTTAATATAAGGAGTGCAAGCTTTTAGCTAATAATACTTAAAGGGTAACTAAACCCCTGGTCAGAGCCTGACTCCACCCACTGGCAATATTTGAAAAATGCTGGAAAAGTGGGCAGAGCCCAGCGGAGATAGAGGGGATGAACTGAGACCGCAGTGAGGGATTGATTGACAGCTGCTGTCAAACTCGCTAAAATGGAGACCGACTGGAGTGACGCAAGTAGCTTTGCAACAGAGCGGTCATTTGAAGTATTTTCTTCACCACCTTCATCTGATTTTTCTGCCTTTTAAGAGGGCCAAATCTGAGGTGTGTGGTCATATTTTGGCTTTTACAAAAGTCCTGAGGGAAACTTAATCGATGATGGTCACCCTGTCTGCAGAACATGCACAAAAAAGTCGCTGCAATACACTTCAAAATGTTGTTTTGAGTTGAAATATTTTATCTCACTCACTTGAAATAAACGTGAAGCTTCCACGAAGAAAAGTTCGCATTAATGTTTTAAATCTTACCTGTTTATAAATCCATTTTGTACAGCGTACAAAACAATCGTCCAGACAGGATGATCACAACAATATTATCAAACTCTGTAAACAATAAATTAACTCTGATTTTATTTTCAATACAATCAAAAACGGAGACGCAAGACGGCAAATTGTATTTAAATGAAACGAGAGAGCGCGTCCGTTGTGATGCATGGATTTGCACTGTGTTTATAATGCGTTGCTATTGACGACGGTCAGAAGGAAATGCCACAGAATAGAATCTTGCCTTAAAAAGTGCATAGAGCTGCTTATTTTATTTGTTGTTTGTTGATTTTCAAATATAAAACTATCCTGATCGTTTTCAATACTCGTAATTCCAACTCCTGACTCGCTACAGTAGTTTTGACGGAACCAGATGCTTTTATACCAGGGGCTGCCAAGGGCGTGGTGAGCTCGCACCAAGGGCGTGACAGAGGTCCGTCATAGAGTACCCTACGTCAGAGAGTACCCCTACTGCAGGAGCTTTCCGTTTAACCTGAAGAGGGCAGCACTCATACGTCTTTACACCATATATTTGAAAATTAAAACACTTTATACCCAAATGTCAAAAAATGTACTCGAATCAAAGAACAGCATTTATGAAGCTCCATTCTTACAGATCATTAACTAAAAAAAGTTGTTTCAGTGTTTAGTTACCCTTTAAGATTTCCAGCCTCTTTACACTCAGATGCATGTGCACTTGATTTCAGCCAGATGTCCATAGCCAGTGTTAACAGCTGCTGAGAGATCTGTAGAAGTTAAACCACAGATGCTAATCTTGCTCTGTCTCTTAGATGTTCTCCAAATCCTCTTTGGAGGGAATGGACACTGTAGAAGTGGACTACCGTGTGAGACTTGCTGAGCTGCAGCAGCGCTACAAAGACAAGCAACGAGATCTTGTCAAACTGCAGAGACGGAGAGACAAAGAGTGAGTCTCTCAATCAACATTAAATCCCTTAACATAACTTTATTAAGACCAGTAATGCCAATCTACCTCACTTAATCCTACTAACAATCAAACAACCTGCAATTTATGATCCCTGTGTGATTCACAGGGAGAAATGTCAGCAGCAACAACAACAACAGCAGCAGCAACAACAACAGATCCAGCAGCAAGAGAGGAACAGAAGTTTAGCCCGCAGGGGCCCGGGGCGTCCCCGAAAGAGAAAACATGCCCTGTGCGCATTGTCTCCACCCCTCAGCAAGCTGGATTCGAAGTGTGCAAAGTGAGTGTGTAGCTCAGGCACCGATAAGGCCCAGCTGTGCTCACCACAGCCTGCCCTGCAGCTGAACGCTCTGTTGTTTTGCAGGTTGGGCAGAAGCGTGCTGTACTCGGAGGACTCTGAGAGTGGGGAGGTGCTGAGGAAGCGCTTTCGGGCCTCTAACAGAGATGAGGAGGAGGAGGAAGATAGCAGTGCGCTGAGATTGAAGAAGAAAAAAAAGAGCTGGGGCGAGCAGGAGGCATCTTCAAGCTACTCTCATGAGGTCTGTCTATTATACTGCAGTTGAACAAAAGCCCCTAAATATCTGAAAATGTGAGTTTTTGTTAAACAAACATGTTCCAGTCAGAGTCATGGTGCAGTGGTAAGTGCACATGCTCCAAACACGTTGAACCCACATCACTCGTATGTGCAGCACAGATCAAGTCTTGCTTGCAGTGTGTCTGATCCCATTCCTGCTCTTTCATTTCAGTTCCCTGTCCTATTTGTTTAATAATATACATTCAGTGCTTTTATCTCTTTGAACAGGCACCTAAAATGGTCGTAAAGAAGAGCAGAGTGAGCGAGCAGGAGCAGTTGGCATCCAAACTCGACAAGGCCTTGTCTCTCACTAAGCTCAGCAAACTCAGCAAGTCCTCTTGTAAGTTCATAGAGGGTTCCTCAGGGAAGTCCAGGGCTAGCTCTGGAAGCAGAGTCCCCATGCTCACCGATTTAGACATGAGAGTCAAGATGGGAAAATCCAGCCTGTCAAAAGATCTCAGCATCTTTCACAAGTCTTCCAAAGGAGGTAAAAGCAAAATGGCTGCCAAAACGAAGCCTTCAGATCCATGCCTTAAGGGAAAAGGCCAGCGGAAAGCACCTTATTCTCCAATGAGGTCAGAAATTAGCAGCTATTCTAACAGTAAGTCACGTTTTTTTTTTTTTTAAGAAAAAAAAATTGTTGTTGTGACATTAGCCGCGTTTCCATTACCCTTCAAATTGCGCAAATTGAAACTGTGAATTGAAAATGCGCTCAATGGAAACACGTCAATTTCGCAAAAACTCCCATTTATCGCGCAAAAGTTTTTACACTCGCATGAGGTGTTTTTTCAGGCAATTAGAAAAATTTTTTTTAAAAAATAAATGAATGCTTTGATAACACACCTACGTCTTTCCATTAATAATAATAATGTCTAGTGCGGTGGCTGTGATTATATATAAACCTACCAACGTCCGTTGCCATGATTTTTGGAATGACTTATCGCGAGAGGAAAAAATTACGTTTTAGTCGCATAACATCGGTTAATGAAAACGCCGTCATTCCGCAATAGTTTTTTATCGCTATTTAGAAAAAAATTGCAAAGGTTGTGCAAATCTGTAATGGAAACGTGCCTAGTGACAGTATTTATCACAATATAGGAATTTTTGTTTTGTAAAAATAACAAAAAGCTGTCGTGATATCTATGTCTACTTTTTCTTAATGTTTTGAATGAAGTCTCATGCTTGACAGGGCTGCATTTATTTGATCAAAAATATGGTAAAAATATTTAATATTTTAATATATTTAAAACTTTCCTTTATTCCTGTAATAGTAAAGCTGAATTTGATCACATGATCCTTCAGAAATCAGTCTAATATGCTGATTTGCTGCTCAAGAGCTTATTGTTATTGATGTTAAAAACAGTTGCGTTGCTTAACATTTTTGTGGAAAAGGTCGTACATTTTTTTTCAGGATTTTCTGATGAATAGAAAGTTCAAAAGAACAACATTTATTTGAAATGGAATTTTTTTTGTAACATTTATGTCTTTTATTGTCACTTTTTTGCTTTTTATTGTTCTGTTTAATTAAAGGGTTAGTTCACATCGGAGTTATATTTAAAGCTCTTTAAAGCTTTATAATGGGAGTAAAAAGTAACTTTAAAGCTCTTTAATGTGTCCTTGCAGAATAAGTATTAATTAAAAATAAAATAAAAATCTTACTGACCCCAAACTTTGGATTTGTATTGCAGTGTAGTGCATCATGGATTGAAGTATAATTGTTTTTAGTTCATCATGCTTTTGGTCCTCCATCCTGAGTTAAGTGTTTTGTGATTTGTGCCAGACACGGATTCAGAAGAGGAAGATTCCCTGAAGGATGGCTGGCCTCCCAGCTCCTTGTTGGGGAGAACAGCGTCACGTCCACAGCTCCCCGGCCTGTGCAGCACTCCAACCAAGAAAAAGCGCTCATCGTCCAAGAGAGCCTCTTCATCTTTGTCTTCATCACTCAAGTCCAAGCAGGCGGCCAAAGAGAGGAAACATAAGCACTTTGCTTTATTGCTACAGGAGGCAGGAGTCAGCTCCTCTGAGGACTCATTTGACCAAGGTTAATAAAGCATACCTCACTATGCACAAAATCGAGATGGCAGCTGCTCGGTTTTAGCTTTTTTATTTTTGGTCTGTCTTGTATTTTTAGCCATGACTATCGGTCATGGTGACATTTTTCATTGCATCAGAATTTGCTACCTCACATCCTGTATATAATTTAATCGGCTCTTGTTAGAGTCCCTTTTAAATGGTTACTTTTATAGGAATGTCTTGCCATTGTGCATTAAATGTGTGTGGCTGTGTGGAAAGTGTTCTTTATTGTATTGCAGTTTGGTACCCAAGCTTTATTAAACATGCTGATTTCATTTTTACTGAAAGTAAAGAAACGCAGTGTTCTCTGTCTCTTTCGCTACATCTCCTGCTGTAGAGTGTTAGATTGCAACGCTCCACACTCCTGATTTCCTCTGTTGTTCAAATATCCCTTTCATCAGTGAAGAGCTGTCACAAGGAGATCCCTGCATAAATTCAGCACTCCTGAGCAGTGCTGATGAGATTCATTAGGCCAAATGACTTTGAGAAGCATAACTAACTTGTTAGGTTCTCCCAAGAGATCAGATTTTTAACAGATGAGAAAACGCTGAAATGATATTAGACGGATGTTGGATAATGTTTATCTGCATTTACAATATTGTATACATTATCATTTTGATTGGTGCCGTAAACCAATGTGAAACTAGTGGCAGTAGAGCGTACTGCCATTATAACCAAGTTTAGTCAATAAATCAACATGCACAAAACCAGAATTTGTAGAACTTTAAAGCATAAATCTTGTTCCAGTTCCAGCAATGTTTTTTCACTATGACGAGTGAACAGGCAATGCATTGTGGGATATTTGAAAAATAGGGAGATCCCTGATTTACTAAAAAAGAAAAATGAATAACCTAGATTCTCCAGACTGCTCGCTCTCTCCCTGCAGCTGCTTGGCCACCCCTCCACCTCTGACCCCTTCTCCTACCCATGATGCTTTTGAATGTCTATCGGTCTGTGCATTTGCTTGTCCTGCCGCAACAAAATAAGAAGCAAAGGGCTTGGCTGGGAGTAGGGCAGCCAGCTGTTCAGCGTGAGGTCACTATCCATGTCACCTGAGCCTTGAGCATTGTTCTGTAAGTAGGCCACCATCCTCTTTTGCTGTGACTTCTCCATCATTTTTACTAATTTGTGCTTACACTGTTACAGAACCAAAACGCAAACAAAAAAGACCGGATAACATATTAAGGTGTTGAAAATGCCTTTTTAACATGCTCACCTCCTGTTACATGACCTCAAGCCATGGTTATGTTTGTATTTGGTGGGGAACGTTTTATTTTTTTATATAAAGTTCAGGATGATCTTCTCCCTCTCCTAATTTTCCTTCTTGGCCATATTAATATTATTTTGAGGTATGAGGTATAACTGAGTTATGTTTCTCGTTGATGTTGAAACCAGTTATTTTGTTAGTTTCAATATATAAGATTTAATTATTAATTTGATTTATTTTTTCTTAATGAAGACAGTCTATTCGTTTTTTTATTATTTACTGCTAAGGAAGTAAGAGGATTGAATTGAAAGAGAAGAACATAACCATGGCTGAAGTGGTTGATGGTCTGAGTTGCGTCCAGGCCAGACTGAGTCTCAGGAGCCATGGAGGACTGTCCTCACAGAGCCTGCTTTGTTGTTCTTCAGCTTCTTCCTGTACACATCCTTTGCTTGCTGTCAGTCCATGTAATACATGCTTCAGGTCTTAACGCTGTGGCATCTATAAAGTTATGTTCACAACATAACCAATCAAAGTCCTTGTCTGCTACACAGTCCTTGTCTTTAACAAACTCACCTCTGGCTTCGGCTACTCACAACTGCACTCAAACATCTGTTTCCATGTCTGTTTCCATCACCAAACTTGTTCCTCACCCTCCAGAGAATGGGAGAAAATGGGGTGTCGCTTAAAGTGGGTACCTACTGTCTTATAACTAGTCCTTGAGAGGTTTTTTTCTTTTTCTTTTTTTCTTTATCAGTTTAGACAAGCTCCGAGCTGAAGAGACTTTTAATAATTGATGACTTTCTTAGTCAGGGATTCTGCCAGCAACCTTAACTTTCTGCAGTGCTTGTGGCTTATTCTATTCCCTTTTTTCCTTCAGTGATTCAGCTCATTCAGCACATTGGGCAAGGCCACTTTACTGGCTTCTCTTATTTGGTTTGGGCTTTTGCATTCCCTGCCCCTCTCAATTTGGAGCGAGCCAGCAGCCATGCTGATTTTAAATCCTGCCCTAAAGCTCTGAAGGTTTGAAAGCTACGCTTGCGAGATCCTGCCTACCCAGCTTAGTATTTGCTGCCCGCATGAAACCAGGCTTTGTCCCCCACCAGTAATCTTATGTAGCAGTGGGTGGGCTGCAGTATTTGAGCAGGAACACATTAATCTAGAGAAAGTCTGCTTCTGCAGTGCTAGATTACAGTGGATACGTAAAAGTGAGAAAACACTACAGCTGGTAGAATGATTCATTAGGGCTAATCTAGAATTCATCGCTATGCAGATTGAATTCTATGGGTTTATTGTTCTACAGAGATAACTAGTAGGGAAATGGTCTTTAGATGTTGGGTATTTTTTTATTTAATTGCATGGGATTGAGGCTTTAATTTTAACAGGATATGGTTGAAAGTGGTAGTTCACCCAAAAATGAAATGATGTAATCATTTACTCACCCTCATGTCGTTCCAAACCTGTATGACTTTTTCTTCTGCAGAACTTCTGCAGATGATTTGACGTTTTGTCTATGCATTGAAATTCAGTGGGGTCTTAACATCAAATGGACCCCGTTGACTTTCATTGAAGAAAGTAAGGCAGAAGTCAGTCAGTCATGCAGGTTCGGAATGACATGAGGGTGAGTAGATGACAGAATTTTCATTTTTGGGCGAACTATTGCTAATTCTGGGCTCTTCAACTCCAGTTCTGGAAGGCCAGTGCCCTGCAGACATAAGAAACAATCCCAATTTAACCCTCCTGTCTGTACACTCTTTAAAATAAAGGCTCTTTATTGGCATCTGTGGTTCCATGTAGAAACCTTAACATCCATGGAACCTCCACTGCACAAAAGGTTCTTTATATTATTCAAATGTTCTTCGCACTAAGAAAAACAAATGGTTCTTTAAAAAACTGTTCACTGAAAGGTTCTTTGGTGATCTCAAAAGGGTTCCTCTGTGGCAACACTACGAAAATACCTTTATTTTAAGAGTGTCATTTAGTTGTCAAGTAGTTCTGTACGCCTTTATTAGTTTGTTTGGGTATGTTTGGTTGGGGTTAAACCTTAACTCAATAGGACACTGGTCCTCCAAGATTGGAGTTGAAGAGCCCTGCTTTAAGTAATGGGTCGTGTCACAGGCTTCATTTTCATTCATTTCTGAACCTTATATATTTTTTGTCAAACATTCTAAATGATTTGTCTTCCCATTGTTAACAGAGTATTTCACCGAGCGGGATGATTATGAGGATGATGATGACGAGGATGAAGATGGGTATGATTATGAGCTTGATGAAAGCGACGGCCTGTGTTCGTCATCTGTAGAAGAGAGTGGGCTGGGTCTTCTGGCCCGCTTTGCCGCCAGCGCTATCCCGAGCCCCATTGTCACCAATCCGCTCTCCATCGTCCAACTGGAGGCTAAACAGAAAGCCAAGAAGAAAGAGGAACGGCAGAGTCTACTGGGTAAGGAAGTGCTCTTCCTGAATGGATTGCATCTTTTTTTACACTATTAGACTCCTCTGTTATCTCTCTGTGACATCAGCTGCTTTTCCAAGTCCGCTGGGACTTAAATTCCCAGGTGACAAGGTGATGCATTGTTATTGGCTGTCTTTTGTTGAGCTGTGTCGTGCATGTGCATCGGCGAGTGAGGGAATTGAAAGGTGCTGGTAGATGAAAACACATTGTGCTTGGAGCATTCACTCAGTAGGGGTGTTATTCAATATAGACACCCATCAGTTGAGCCCCACCTTGAGAATGGAGTGTCATTATCCCCTAGCCGCATTTGTGTGTGTGTTTGCTGCGCCGCTTGCACTCACTGAGAATGTGATGCTGACAGGCCTTGCTTTGATGAGGTTGGGCTGTGATCCTGAGCGGGTACCCAGCAGCGCACACGACAGGCCTGCCAGCGGAGACCAACATCCCCCTTCATTAACTATTAAGGCCCTGCAACAATGTTCGGACTTAATTCTGCTCCCACATCTGGCCCTGTTTATTTCTTACATGTGCACATTATATTGTCATTCTTTGTTGGGAAATGAGTTGACCACATGTAGATGGTTTAAATTATAGCAGATGGCCTAGTATTTACATTACTGTTGTAATGTATTTCATGTTTTTGAAATGTTTTTCATAAAAGACACTTTGCGTTTGTGCAAGTGCATTCCGTTTGCATGCCTTATTAATAACCGAAGGTTGTATCTTCTGAATTGTAGGTACAGAGTTTGAGTTTACAGATTCGGAGAGCGATGTTAAAATGAGAAAGAAGTTTCCGTCACTGTTGCACGGCAAGCGGTCGGCTCCTGAGCTCCCTCTCTTGCCGCCCGCGAGCGTCAGGCATGACGACTCCAGCCCCAGCAAGCGTGGACGCAAACCGAAGAAACCCAAGTCTCCGCGGGAGTTCAGTTTCGAACTTACCGCCGACGGGAGCGAAGACGAACAGTGGACACGGCGGAGGAGTGAACGCATCTTCCTCCATGATGCTGCCCAAGCCACCCCCATCTCCCCATCTGGCAAAACTCCTCTTCCACTCACTCCCAAACCTGCCCGTGGCCCCAAAGCGTCTCCGCAAAGCCCCAAAGAGCTGACCAAAGCCAAGGAGGTGAAAGACCCCAACAAGGTAAGCCCTTGTTTTATTGATGTAGATTGAGTCCTCTGTGCCAGCCCCAATGAAACAGTGAGGGCGCTTGATACCAGCTGGTGTCCTGCTACATTTGTCGGACAAGAAAGCCTCCCGCTGTGAGTGTCATGTTGTTGGACACAAAAGGATGGCTGCCGCTTGCCAGGCTACAATTACCAGCCATCACCGTTCCTCCCTTCGAATCCTCTATTGTTTTTTTTATAGTGTTCAATACATGACTGCCTATTAATGTTTACTTGTCTATCCAATGTTGTTGAATGGCTGTAATGTCTGGGAGAACTGAGCCTGATTGTGTCATGCATTTGTATGAGGCTTTTCACTCTTGTCCATGCTGAGGGTTTGGCTTTGTATCTGGTGTGAATGTTTCAGAAGAAGAGGATTAAGGAGACCCCCTTGTGTCTGCCCCCACCCCAGCTCTCCAGCACACCCTCGGAAAGTGCCGGAGCTCTGCCTGTCAGCCCAGGCCGCAAGAGCAAGGTGAAGGCCAAATCCAGAGAGGTAACTATTGCCTAACTCAGCTGACATTGCAGTGCTAATTAGTGATAAATTGGCCAATATTTTACAATATTATGGCTGATGAACAGAAATGATATTTACCCTTTGAGCAAATTCCAAGATCTATCAACATCCATCAACTGGGATAGTACATTTTTTTTAAATTATTTATTAAATATCATTAATAAAAAGCAAGTGTTCAATTAATTTTATTTAAGCTCATAAAATAATATTTTGTAGCAAGTATAGTATTATAGAAATACTGTGCCTAAATTGATACAAAAATATTATATTAACCCTCAAAAGTTTGGGGCCAGTAAGAGTTTTTTTTTTTTTTTTTTTTTCTATTCAGCAAAGATGCATTAAATGGATCAAAAGTGACTGTAAAGGTATTAATGTTATAATTTATTTAAAATAGAAATATTTTGATGGATGCTTTTATTTTAAACTTTCTATTCAAAGAATCCTGGGAAAAAAATGATTGGTTTCCACAAAATGATAATATGATGATAGAATGATAATAATAATAATAAAATGTTTCTTGAGCAGCAAATCAGCATATAAGAATGATTTCTGAAGGATTCTGAATGACACTGAAGACCGGAGTAATGATGCTGAAAATTCAGCTTCACGAAATGCAACATCACAGCAATAGAACACAAGACAAAAGAATACAATTTATTATTAAAATATAAGTATTTTAAATTGTAAAAATATTTCACAATATTATTGTTTTCCTGTATTTTTGATCCAATTAAAGTGCCTTGGTGCGCATTAGAGACTTTCCAACAAAAAAATAAAATAATTCTGAGTCTGACCAACCCCAAACTTTTAAATATTAAATTTACTTACATTTTTAGCATGCCACGTAATAAATATTTGAAACAGACCTAGTGTTGAGCAGCCATTTTGTGCTACACTGTGACTCTAAGGAGAAACACCGAAACGGATTAGAATAATTTTACCTGGCAGGCTCAAGGCCTGTTGGGAGAAGCCTTGCATTTAAATGAGCTGTCCCTTCCTGCTCCCCTGTCCCATTCTGTATGGGCCTGCTCTCAGTACCCACCATGATGACCAAAGGGAGGGATGTGAGGGGGGGAAGGAGAGGGAGAGAGAAAAGGGGAGAGCGCAATAGAGCAGCAAGCGTAATTAGACTGCACACTCAGCGGGAAAGCATTGAAATTAACCAAACGACATCTCGCTCCATCCATTTCTCCGCCCCTTCTGCACAATTTATTTTTTCTTCTCAAGATAAATCTCCACTGCATTTTAAAACTCTCCACCGCTGCTGTTTTGTCATTGTATGTATAAATCATGTGTTATAATGCACAGTGCAGAAGCTCGGGAACTCCTCTGGGTATTTGCCCCATTTGAAATCAAGAAATCCTACATCTCGCGAGCCGAGCTTGTCAGTCATCTAAATAGGTTTTACTGAATCAATTCTCTAGTAAGCACATGGGTCTCATCTTTAGAACTGAACCAACAATGGCTCAGTGTTCAATATTTCATATTGTCACTGGAATTGGGGCAAAATGTGCTTGAATTTCCCCCAGCAGGCTCGAGGGAAGGGCGGTGCTGTCAGTAAACTGATGGAAAGTATGGCTGCTGATGAGGACTTTGAGCCCAACCAGGACAGCAGCTTCTCAGAGGATGAGAATCCCCCTGTGAGTGCTCAGCCCGAAAGACCCTGCACCCCCGGTGAGACTCTTTTCTCATTCCCTCTTGTCATCAAGGCCGTGGAGCTCTTTTCCTTCATTACCTCCCCATTTATAATTGCTGTTTAATGACTAAACCAGACTTCATTTTCTTGTCCATGCATGCAATTAAAAGTGAATGTCTTTTGAATGACGTGAGGGAGCGATCATTTCACAGCATATTTTATCTTAATCCAGCATTAAAAATCAGAAAATTGATTCGGCCTGATTGCATTCATACGGTAATGGGACGAGCTGAGAGGTATTGCACGCATTAGCTCTGTTTCAAAACCTTGTGAGCTGCTTGTTACCTACATTGACAGCATCGTAACCGTCATGAAACCTCATAAGTGACAGATTTTGAAGGTTCTGCGCAGAATTAGAATTTTTTTTAATGGGGGGGGGTGGACAGGGCATCTCTGCTTCCTTCCACTGTAGAAAGATGAAGCCAAAATATCCGGTCGTTGGCGATTTATGTAATTCGTAACCCAAGTCTTCACACTAGTGGAGCCACAGCATCAAGGTCCAGCCCACACTCGACTCAACGCAAGCACAGCTGTCAATCTTGACGTTGGACCCCTTTTTTATAGCATCAAATAACTAACTAAAACCATACTTTTTTGGAAAAACATACATCTGCGTGATAAGAACTACCTAAAATTACAGAAACGATCTTTGGACAAAAAAGTGTAATTGGATTTTTTTTGTTTGGCTTGCGTCCCATTCGATTACATGGAGAGGGCTGGGTTTATGACCTATACTGCAACCGTGTGTTCTGGTATTGCCTCCTTCGAGATTTCCTTTTTTACAAGTACATTTATAATTGACATTAATTTCATTCGCCATATTGGGATTTTTTTTTTTCACTGATCTGGTCGGATTAACTTCTCCACGATTAACACATGAAGTTGTCTTAGAATTTGGCTATAATTGGGTATCTTGGAAAGCAGCATAATTAAGCTAACCTGTGGGAACAGTTTTCACATTAAAATGCTGAATGCATAAGCAGCTCTGCTTTTTTCTCTAACATTTGCAGCTTTAAGGTGGCGATGAGAATTTTCATGTTATTTAGGAGCACAAGTTTCGACATGTCTCTTTCTAACACTGCTTATCTCCCTCTGTTCTGTTTTTCTTCAAGCCCCTCGGAACTGTGTCATTAACAAAGATGAACTGCAGGATGGATTACGGGTCCTCATCCCTATGGATGACAAACTCCTGTATGCCGGCCACGTCAGCACGGTTCACTCTCCTGACATGTAAGAGACCGCCAGCCGGAACTGTTTTCCTTCTCTTTATACCCTCTGCTGTGTCTTCAATAGGGCTGGGTATTGACACACATTTCACAATACGATTTTGATTCACAAGCTTTCGATTTGATATTTATTATTTTGGATGTATATCAGGTACAGTACATGGCAAATTGTCTCAAGGGAAAAAAAATCCCAACTAATGCTGTAAACTATACATGGGAGTCAGTTGGTACTACATTACTATAATATTAAAGGTTAAAATTAACTGATTTGTATCAAACACTTAATACACTCAAGGAAGTCTTTATAATAATAAAGTTATAATCCTAACTTTACAATTACATAATTGTATTTCTACTCCAATTCATGTTTGGAATATAAATATTAAATGGACTGTCAACTTGACGGATTTATTCAAACATGCATTAAATATTGAATAACATTAAAAAATGTAATGAATATATAAAGAATCAAAAAAATTATAATGAATATGTAATATAGTGCATATATTTAGCAAAATGCTCCTCTCAAATATTTTTTTTTCTAGCTGACTAACGGGTAATGGTCACTGAATATGGTTTTTCTGAGGCAAATGTGACTTGTTTACAAGCTGTTTTATTGACGTCTTTCCGCGGTTGAAACACTGATTGATACATGATGCATACCTTCAGATGTTCATTCATGTTTATTTGTTGCTGTAACTGGTATTTAAACGGAGGAGATGATCAGTTTGCGTGCGCTCCGCGCTGCCGCTTCTTTTAAACTAAGGCGCTACAGTGATCTGTCACACCACATTCAAGTCAAGTCACATTTATTTATATAGCGTTTTTTTTACAATACAGATTGTTTCAAAGCAGCTTTACAGAGATAACAGGAAAATAATGCAAAAAAGTTTGTTTCCAGAAGAAACTAGCGTCACAGTCCAGCTCAAGTAAGTTCAGTGATGTTTCATTTTTGTTTTAAAAAACATTATTAATTTAGTTCATTTATATATATATATATATTTATATAGCCGCTCTGGAGTAAACCGTGATGTCATCGTCCAGCTCAGTTCAGTTCTTGTATAATAGTGTCAATGCAGGCAGATCAATATTATTGTTGAATATTAAATTAAATGTTAAATTTAATGTCCCAACTAAGCAAGCCAAGCCAATGGCAACCAAGGTGGAAAAAGACTATAGTGGCAAGGAACCAACTCCATCAGGTGGCAGAATGGAGAAGAAAAAAAAACCTTTGGAGCCGTTCTCCTCTTGCCAATAAACGAACAGTGCATGATTATGATTCAGGCAGCATTACAGGTCAGAAGTCAGATTGGTTTGGAACAATCAGAATATTATCCAGTTCCATCTGGTTTAAGATCAGAGTCATCACACCGGGTTGGAGACGGGTTTGTTAAGGATCAGTGCTGATGGCTGTCGTGTCGATGAGGCCTTCACAGGGAGAGTCTAGTTGACACAATCTCTGCTGACACTTCAGGGATGCGTTGTGGTCGTGTCTAGGTGCAGGTCCTCCATCTGGTCTGGATACGGCCCGGATCCGGCTGACTACAATCATGCGTTATGGTCGTGTCTAGGCGCAGGTCCTCCATCTGGTCTGGATACGGCCTGGATCCAGCTGATTACAGTAAACCTCGGAATAAGCAGAAAGACTAACATTAGCGTAGATGCCATTCTTCTTATGATGTAACGAGTACATCGGGTGTTATAGGAAGTGTTCCCGGTTTCGGCTGACTAATGCAGCCTAGTAATAATCATTTAACTGATTGGAATCAGGGTGTCCGTGGGGTTTTAAAAAATATTAAAAGTTGATCAATCAATTTAGAGAAATTTAAGGCCCTTAAAAAGTATTCAGTCTTAAATGCCATTTTCCAAGGTATTCAATTTAGAGAAATTTAAGGCCCTTAAAAAGTATTCAGTCTTAAATGCCATTTTCCAAGGTATTCAATTTTCTATCATCTTTTCGTTATGAATATTTGTCCAAAGAGGTTGTATGCCAAAGTTTGCCTGAATTTAATTATTGCGAATAGTTGGATTCTGTGTAGTTTGTTTACGTAATCCCGCTAGATGTGACGTCATCTGTTACCGCGCTCACTGACTGCTTTGCTGCGTGATAGCGCAAATGTCCCTTTACACACGGTTGTTAAACAACATCATTGACTAACGGGGAAATGCAATATACACAACAAGCTTACGTTACATCTTAAGATTTTCTTTTAGTTGAAAACATTAAACAATATGTGTAATCAAAAAATGTAAAGAACAAAAGCATTTAAGCTCAAGCAGTGCAAACGGAAAAAACGCTAATAAAACAGACCGCGCCACTTATCGTACAGAACATGGGTATACACTCGAGTCATCATAATATTTATCTTGTTTATATTGCTTCACTTTCATGTTGAGAAAAACAATAATATCCACATGCTCGAGTAGAAAACGCGCTGCCGCTGACAGACGTTGCAGGGACACAGTGACAGATAACGAAGTTTCTAACAGCACTTTGCGTTTTCTGTTATTAAACCTGTCTGTCTTAATGAAACTTAAAAGAAGCATATGTTTCGAAATCATTTTGCTATCAGTTAAGTTATCATCTCGCTCACTCGGGTACAGCTGAGTTTACCTGCAGTCGTGAATGCAGTGATGAACAGCTGTCTTTCCTCATTCGACTGCTGTTTGGATTTCATGGGATTTCTCATTGTGGTGATGATATAACTCAGCATCATTAATTAATTTGATTAAAATTAATTCCATTTTGTAAGATCATTAAGTAAGATCATTTTCATCCAAGTAATTCCAAACTTTGCGAGGTGAGGCTGACAACGACATTATGTAATCAAATACAGTCAACACGCGACAAAGCGCCACCCAGTGCATTTAATTATAACTGTGAGTTAGTGCTTGGGATTTAGCATGGATTCACAGCATTTAAAGCAACACCAAGTAACTTTTCCTCTGTGGTCGCCCTACAGGTTGGAAGCGGAATTGTCCATTACCGCTGTCGTAAATAATTTAGCCTAATTTTCCCTCTTCAATAAGTTTTGTCAATTGTTTTGTTTATTGGTCTAATTCTGGTTTCTGGTTTCGCTTTCTAATAAACCTTGCATTGGGGTAGTCACTCAATTAATTATCTTGTGCTTCATTCCCACCCTTCTGAATTATGTTGCATTCATGAGTTATCGCAAACTAAGACTGTTTAGTTGTGCTATCTTACAATCAATATATATATGTAAGGTGTCGCCGATGTAACGGTTAAAACTTGAAGTGGCGATGAGGTCTTAAAATGTATGGAAGGGGTCTTAAAAAAGGTATTCAATTTAATTACATGATTCCTGTATATACCCTGTGAATAATAGGAATGTATAATTTTCTGTGTGTATGCCAGTTTAACGAGATGTGTTTTTAGTCTAGATTTAAACTGACAGAGTGTGTCTGCTTCCCGGACAATGTTAGGAAGACTGTTCCAGAGTTTAGGCGCTAAATAGGAAAAGGATCTACCGCCTGCAGTCGGTATAGATGTGAAGGACTATGCGTTAAGAGCTCGCTCAAGTACTGGGGATCTTAACCATTTAGTACTCTGCATATTTTAAAGTGTATACGATGTTTGATGGGGAGCCAATGCAGTGTTGACAGAACCGGGCTAATATGGTCATACTACCTGGTTCTAGTAAGAACTCGAGCTGCTGCGTTTTGGACCAACTGTAGTTTATTTTGCGTGCAAGGGAAACCACCCATAAGAGCATTACAATAATCTAGCCTTGAGGTCATGAACTAACTGTTCTGCATTTTTCATTGAAAGCATATATCGTAATTTAGATATATTTTTAAGATGGAAGAATGCGGTTTTACAGATGCTAGAAACTTGGCTTTCAAATGAAAGATGGGTATCAAAGAGCACACCCAGGTTCCTAACTGACAACGAAGACTTGACAGAGCAGCCATCACTTGTTAGAAAGTATTCTTGGTTAGTACGTGCGGAGGTTTTTGGTCCAATCATTAGAAACTTTTTTATAAACTAGAAAAAAAATTATATCAGCTATGCATTCTGTTAATTTCTTTAATTGGCAAGTTTCATCGGGGTGCGAAGAGATATAGAGCTGAGTATCATTGGCATAACAGTGAAAACCAATCCCATACTTCCAAACGATATCTCCCAAGGGTAGCATGTACAGAGTGAACAACAGCAGCGGTCCTAGTACTGAGCCTTGTGGTACCATACTGAACTTGTGATCGATAAGACATCTCTTCATTTACAGCTACAAACTGATAATGGTCAGATAAGTATGATTTAAACCATGATAATGCAATTCCACTAATGCCAACATAATTTTCGAGTCTATTTAAAAGAATGTTGTGATCAATAGTATCAAATGCAGCACTAAGATCAAGAAACACTAATAGAGAGATACAACCACGATCGGATGATAAGAGCAAATCATTTGTGACTCTAATGAGAGCTGTCTCAGTACTATGGTGAGGTCTAAATCCTGACTGGAAATCCTCGCAGATATCATTTCTTTCTAAAAAGGAACATAGTTGTGAGGATACTGCTTTTTCTAGTATCTTTGACAAAAAGGGTAGATTTGAGATCGGCCTGTAATTGACTAGTTATCTAGGATAACGTTGTGTTTTCTTAAGAGGTTTAATAATAGCCAGGTACATATCCTAGGGACAAAGATGAATTAATGATATCAAGAAGATGATCTATGACCTCTGGAAGCATTTCTTTCAGTTGCTTAGTAATAGGGGTCTAACATGCATGTTGTTGATTTAGATGATTTAACGAGTTTAGACAATTCATCCTCTCCTATAGCAACAAATGAATGGAATTTCTCCTCAGGGAGACTTCAATGCACTGCCTGATGCGATACTGTAGTAGATGGTTGCATAGTTATAATCTTCTCTCTAATATTTTCAATCTTGTAAGTAAACAAGTTCATAAAGTCATTACTGCTATGTTCTTTGAAAACTTCAGAAGTAGAAGCTTTATTTCTTGTTAATTTAGCCACTGTG